GTCAAAGATAAGAATCAAGATGAACTGCTGAATCTTCATAATGAGATATTTTCTAAATGTAGACATAAGAAACGATTCAAAACATAAACCCCGTTTTGTAGCATGGTGTCACTTATGTCAGTTCCATCTTGGTTCAATAACATCGGGCATAAATTTTTAATGGAATGACTTTTATGTTTATTATGTTAATCTCTATATATATCATTGTGTATGTTCATGTGATGCGCTAGGTATTTAATTTGTTTTTTGAGACCAATTTTTTAAAATTTTACTTTTTTTAGATTTTACATATATATATATATATATATATATATATATATATATATATATATATATGTATGCATGGATGAATGTATATGTATATGTATGCGTATATATGTATATGTATGCGAATATATGTATATGTATATTTATGTAGGCGTATATGGATGTATGTATATGTAGATAGATGTATATGTAGATGTGTGTATATGTGTGTGTATGTTTTGGTATGTATGTACGCATATATATCTGTATATGGGAGTATATGTATGTATATATGTATGTATGTGTAGTTAGACGGATAGATATAGGGATACATTGTTTATTTGTTTAGATGGGTGTATGTAATTGTATGGAGATGTAAGGTTTTATGTATATATGTTTATGTGCACGTATGCGTATGTCAGTATGTATATATGTGTGTAAACGTGTATATATGTATATGTGTATATGTAGGAATGTGTGTGTATTTATGTATGTATATGTACACATGTATGTGTATGTGTGTGTATGTATTTGTATGTATATATATGTATGTGAGAATATGTATGTGGGTGTATATATATATATATATATATATATATATATGTATATATGTGTATATGTGTATATATGGATATATGTGCATGTGTGTACATGGGTATATATGTGTGTGTATGTGGGCACACGCCTATATGTATGTATGTACGTGTATATGTTATTGTGTATGTGTGTATTCGCATGTCTTTTTGAACTTGAAAATATAGGTCCTTGCTAGATTAGATAATCGTTACATTTATTTTTTATATGTTTATATTTGATTTGTAACCTGTAGTCGATATTAATTTTGTTCAATTTTCTTAATTACACAGCGACCCTTTCAGTAAATGCCCTTCAGTTTTAGTTTCCCCCGCCCCATCTCTCTCCCCCAGAAATTTTTCTTTTCTTTTCCTCTCCCTCCCTCTTCTTCTGTTCTTTAAGATTAAATCATCTATTGTCTGTGTATGTCACCATGAAATGTATCCTTTCCGTTTACATCTTTAATGTATTAGACATCCAACAACATTCATATTCCTCTCACTTAAACCTCTTCAACTCACCTCTCAAAATTTTCTCACTGTTAAAGTTTAATCTCCCACCTTCTCTCGTCTATTACCCCTCTCTTTAGCTCTAACGTTCGTCCCACACTCTCATACTTGCACTCTCTCTAAATTCTATTTTTATTTCCGGAGTTGCTTTTTCTGTTTTCTTTTTGAATTTGTAGGTCTGATGATTTGGATCGTATTTACGATTCCAATGCAATAAATTATGACCATGGAATATTAGTGTTTAATCCTTTTTATTATATCCTTACTCTGTCCTGGACATTGAGTTCTACCTGGAATTATTTATCAAAAAAATATACATGGATGTGTATGCACCTATGTATACATATTTCTATATTTTACATATGTATGTTTATATTTACCTCTAATATTATCTATATATATATATATATATATATATATATATATATATATATATATATATATATATATATCCAAGTATATAATTGGTGTATAAATTCCAATAACCAAGAATTAATATTCTTAAAAGAGTGCTTAATACAGAGAAGAGCGAATATAATTTTTTATTTTAAAATATTTGTTACAATTTTTAAATAAATACTTATATATACATATATATACAGATAGATACATATATATATATTTTATATATATATATATATATACATACTTATATATATATAAATATTTATATATAAATATATATATACATATATATATACACACACACACTTATATATATATATATATATATATATATATATATATATGAATGCAATGAGAAAAATAATATACGAATTCTAATGTTCACAGCATTAATTCAAAAGAGGACCCAATACCAATAGTAGAGCAATGATTATTTATTATAATGTTTTCTCATAGATAAAACAATATTACTCACTTCAAAGATAGAACGTCGTTTCGGTGCATTTAATAGAATAAAATAACCAAAATAAACCTTATAACCATTTTGGTTGTCACCAGTCGAACTTCAAATAAATGCACCGAAACGAAGTTGCCTCTTTGTCGTGAGTAAATTGTTTTTGTCCATATGATAAATTATAACCTAAAAAAGAGAACTTTTAGGATATGGATTAAATCTGCAATATTTTTACTTTAATTATTTAAACTTTATTTTTAAAGTATATTTATATCTGAATAAACGTTCTGTTTGTTTTTTTCTTATTTACAGAACGGTCTATTTATTTATTTACATCTACGCCCTTGTCTTTATCTAAACGAAACAGAACATATATATATATATATATATATATATATATATATATATATATATATATATATATATATATATATATATATATATTATTCTTATATATATATATATATATATATATATATATATATATATATATATATATATATATATATATATATATGACTAATGCATTTAGGGAAGTTCTTTCTTGTATCTAAAATTCAGAAATAATTATCCTATCTTTATATCAGGAACAAAAATTTGTACAATTACCATTTTAAGATAGACGCGATTATCTCATCCACACGCCTAACCAGAGTTTGCATAGAGGGAGATAAATAATAAACGTTGGAGATATATTCACTTTGAATGTATTCGTGCAGTATTTTTCATTTGTGTACTTTTGACTAAAATGACAACGCAGACATTTTGATACATATGTCGCCATTTTATATTGTTCATTTCGCGCAAGTTCGCTGTTTATTTTTTCGTTTTTTTTCTCCATTGAGTGCACAATATAATAGGCTCCGTTGGACACCATCTATAAGAAAAGTAATATCATGATGCAATTCACTGCGTCATAAATTTTTAAAAGGCTTGCTGTACTGTTTGGCATTCGCACCGAATGCTCCAATGCGAACATTTTTGTCTGTTTGGGTGCAAATTTGAGGGCAGTACAAAGGATTTAAAAAGATTCGAATTAGTGTAATGGTGAATACAATGGCACACAAACCCACTCTGATCTTTCTGATAAGAAAAGAATTCCCGAATTGTTTGGTGAGATCCAGACCATGATTGAAAACTCCCTTCCAATCCAATCAGCTCCATAGAAAAGGAATTAATGTTGTCCTGGTTCTCGAGGGTAGATGCTGCAGACGCTATGTCTGCCAATAGGACTCTGCACCATGCCTCACAAGCAAGAGATTCTTGTCATGGCAGTCAGAAAAATTCTAGAACCTCATCACACCCTACATTTAGCCATCTAACTCCCCAGACTACACCCCTTGATTATTATGTGTTGCGCAAAGTTGAGCGAGATATCAGCAAAACTCATTTTAACACACAAGACAAACTGAAGGTTAGTTTTATGGCAGCATTCACTAAATTAAAGAAGGTGAACGTCCAGGAGGTTTGCAGGAGATTCCATCCTCTTGGAGCTATGGTGGAAACCAATGGTGATTTTATTCTATAAAATTACTTATTTAGTATTTCTCGATATTTTCGTATAATTTTGGTAACTATATCCGTTAAAAGGAGATGTCAGTGTTATTTTTATTTTTGCGTTCTTTAGAAGCAGCGCACACTGTATGTACATATATATGATAAAATTAGTTATCTACCTCCTAACCAGGGGAGCTAACACAGATTTTGTGCTTAGGTCGGTAGAGCCTCGCCTGGCGCCATCAGGAGCTTTTGCAACCGGATAGTTATTTTGATTTGTTTTTTTTTGTATACGTGTTAGATTTTTTTTTTACAACTGAAATTTTTTAACTTTGTGTTAATATAAACAACGCGATCGTAGCGATATTTTTATGACATAGAATGGAACATAAACAGATGTGTTTCATAACAGAAGTAGCATTGTGTTTACGAGCATGTTTTTTATTTAATTTTACTTATTTTGGATCTTCACCAGATTTAACTCGATGCGTGTTGACGTGTAGTCTGGAGACGATTTAAATCACGCTTTACGTCCAGGCCTGCCTTCAAAATGAAGAAAAGGTGGAACTTCCAAGGAATCCACGTCAGCCGACTTCAATAGATATCACATGACATTTCTTTCCCTTTTCCATGCAGTCGGATCACAGGGATTCCTAGGAGTTTTTTATTTCGCTTGTGCGTCCTCTTCCTGTTCTCTCCCCATGGTACCGTTAATCCTACCAGAAGAACACACTTCTTTGAATCAGGGCGTGCGTCAATGAAGTTTACCGAAAATTCCAGAGGTCTTCTAAGATTAACCAAAACTAGCAAACAGATTCTCTACTCAGTAGCGTCATGTTTGGAGTTATTTGGGTTGTTCGCTGTTACGAATGCAGATAGCCCAAACACGCATACACGCATATATTATGGTTAATCTCCGCTTGACAACAGAAGAAGTCACGTGGGAGTCTCGAGACATTTTGGGGAAGCAAATCAAGAGTTTGACTGACCCAGTTACCAGTAGCAACAGACGTCCAGACAGAATCTAGACAGGTGACTGACGTAAGGTCATGAAGCAGCAGGAACTCTAATTCGCGCCAAAATGCAGGACAGGTGGGAATTATAAAATTACTTGGAAGTCAGTTGCTGGCTTGTCTTTGAAGGAGAAAGACACGAAATCGAAGCGTTGATAACTTATGAACGGAAAGATGAGCCTCATTTTGGTAATGATGGAACTTGTCCGATTCATCATAAGCAACTCCGGATAAGAAATATAAGGATGTATATTTCTGTTCGTTAACTCCAGATTGAAGAAGATAAATCGAGTTATTTATCACAGAAGACGCAAGGGAATTTGTACGCTGAGAATACACCTTGTGTTTGAAGAAAGAAAAGAGAAACCAGAGAGAAGGTTATATCTGTTGCAGCCGGACCGTGTTTGAAGCTGAACTGTGTAAAGAAGAAGAAAGAAAAGAAAAGAGAAGACCAGAGTGTAGGAAGAAAGTATATATCTCTGTTGCAGCTGGACTGTGTGTGAAATTGAATTTGTGTAAAGAAAAAGAAAGAAAAGGGGAAAAGTGAGAGAGAAAGAAAGGACAATGAGTAAGAGAGAGAACTGAATATAAAGATAAGTAACTATATATTTTGAACCCGTGTTAGAACGATACACCTTTCCACATGTCAAAATAGAAATATGTAAATCCTATCCCATTTCTTTTGGTTATGCGTTGATTTCTGCATTCGTAGTTATTCATACTTATTTTTTATCCGTTCGGGTTCAGTCGTATCCACTTGGAATTGGGAATATTTTGGTATCCCAACATCTTGAGATTCTGGTCGTCGGATACTTTACTCATGCTTATATTTTTCTTTTATTTTAACATCTTGTGTATATGAACATATTAAAATTCTCATACCAAAATTTACGCCTTATCGTTCGTCCTTGAATTGTGGATCAGTATTTGTGTTGAAACCGAAGCGAAACTGGGAAAAGATTACTGTTTGATTATCCTAATCGAATAGTGTTCTTTTAAATATTTTTTTTACTAATTGTCCATTTGTCATGGTCTGAGAGAGATAGCCCGTATCTCTCCATAGACGTGATAATGTATATATCTCCTGGTCGGCGTATGATTGCATTATAAATTATTCGTCGAGAAGGGCATATGACATTCGCACAGGGCGTTCAACCTGTGAAAACAGAGCTTAGGTTCTCTTAACGTTACAGCCTGCGTGTCGATTGCTTAATATTGTGTTATTTTCCATAATCTGTTATTATGCGGCGTGTGTATCTACATTGATTGTGGGTATACAGATTGCACACGTGACGTAAAGTGTCTCGATCACTTTGGCATGATGCGCCTACATAAGTGTCAGTGTACCCTCACAGCATAGATAGAGAGATAGATATGTATATATAGATAGATAAATAGTTTTGAATAAATCAATAAGTATCCTAGGCGCTACTCTGTCACTTATGTTCATTAATGATATGCCTGATGTCATAGGTTTCAAAAGTGGGCATCTATATGGACGACACTACTATTTACTACTGCAGACAAAACTAACCTGGCCGTTTGTCTTGGAAAAGACCTCCAATCGGTTGTGGACTGTGGCAAGCATTAGCTAGTTAACTTTAATGCCTCAAAAACTAAACCGCTGTAAATTACTCACCAGAGAGAACCATCTCTGCCTCCCATTAAAATGCCTGAAGCTCAACTCCATGAGAGCACCTCTTTGCGACTCCTCGGTCTCACATTGTCCGCTGACCTGAGATGGAACGAATACATTGAGTAATACCTTCGTCCACCGCTAGAAACGCTGGCTCCGCGTGCCGCGCCAGGATTTTTTTCTCGCCGGAGTCAATCCTTCAAATCTACAAAACAACCATTCGTCCATGCATGCTGTATTGCTGCCATATATGGTCTGGAGCCACTTCTAATTGTCTCAAGGTCCTTGATAAAATCCAAAGACAGATATGCAATGTAAATAGCCCTGATCTAGCATCTCGTCTGCGGCCGCTTTCTCACAGATGTTCCGTCGGCTCCCTCTCTCTTTTTTACAAATACTTTTACGGTAATTGATCCGATGATCTGCTTTCGCTGGTTCCCAGACTTCATGAATTTAAGCGTTTCTCTAGTCTGGCAACTCGCTCTCAACTTTTCACTGTCAAAACTGTTAAATGTAGCTGTCTCTTCTACTGCAATAGCACCATGTCTCGCACTTCTCGCCTGTGGAACTCCCTCCCCATTTCTTTTTTTCCTGATAAGTATAATATTAACTATTCAAATGTAACGTCAATCGACGTCTCCAGATGTCCTGATCTATCTCCTTACCTTCTCTTCAGCCTCTCCTCTGTCAATACTATTGGCTCTGGCTCCAACTCTCTGTAACCTCTTGCGTGCTAGTGGCTTCCCGCCCAGCTTTGTGTTGAATGCTTAAAAAATAATAAAAAAAGATAGTGATTGACACAGCGCAACACATAGAGGAAGACAGATTGATAAATACTCAATGTTTAAAGATTAAGAAATGTTTGGTTAAGAGCTATCTATTTACCACTTTCTCTTTCTCTATATCAGTCTTTCTCTCTTGCCATATACACACACACACACACACTCACACAAACACACGCATACACACACACACACACACACATATATATATATGAAATTGTAAGACAAAATGGAAAAGTTTATTTGTTGATGTCGTTCTGAGTACACATGCGCATGAACGAGAGATGGTGGTTGTCTCAAAGTTTTTTGAAGAATTTTTGCACTCTATTAAATTAATATTAATCTCGCTCTGACCCTTTCTCTGTCGAAATTATTAATATTAATTAGACTGCAAATATTATTGAAAAAAGTAATTTCAAAATATTTTGAAAATATCAACGTCAACGAACCCAGTCCGATGAAGTCCTAACGAATAAGGTCATCCACAGAAAGCCTTTTTTCGATGTATCACAGCTCATCAGTGTGGCCAGATGAGACACGTTTTGTGTCTCATCTGGCCACACTGATGAGCTGTGATACATCGAAAAAGGCTTTCTGTGGATGACCTTATTAGCTCTCCATAAAATACTTTAATCGATCGCACAGTGTAGGGAGTAAAGCGAATTTGTCAACTTACATTGTTACTGCTGATGAAGCAAGACTCTCTAAGTTGATTGAGTTCTCTAAGTGACTGGTGTGTTTATGAAAAATAAATACGCAGAAATTCGCCTTTCTCGGTGCCGGGCGTCGATGGCCTAGCGGTTAGAATCTCCGACTGAAGCGAGCGGATGTCTAGCTGGTATCTCGCTCTGACCCTTCCACTGTCGAAATTGTTAAATGTAGCCATCTCTTCTACTCCAATAACTTCATGTCTCACAATTCTCGCCCGTGGAACTCCCTACCCATTTCTAGTTTTCCTGCTTTCCTAGAAAGCCTGCAAATAAAGCAAGACTCGCCAAGTCAATTGAGTTCTCTAAGTGACTGATGTGTTTATGAAAAATAAATAAGCAGAAATTCGCCTTTCTCACTACCGGGCGTCGATGGCCTAGCGGTTAGAATCTCGGACTGAAGCGAGCGGATGTCTAGCCTCACTCATGAGCTGCGATACAGCGCAACGCCATTTCTGTGGATTACGATATATATATATATATATATATATATATATATATATATATATATATATATATATATATATATATATATAATGAGGAGGAGAGAGAGAGAGAGAGGGTGTGAGAGAGATAGGACACAGACTTAAAGTTAGATAATACACAGAGAAAATAGATAATATAATCTTAACTACTCTGATCATGAGAACATTTTTCAGTTGTAGTGAGAAGTAATGTAGTTATCTAATCAAACCCAACAAAGTCGAACTGGACGCGTCTAAATGTACATTTGTCCCAAAGGCACTTAAAGAATTACTATGGCATCACAAAGCAAGAAAACTTTTCAAAACTCTGCCTAATGCAACAATGGTAAGAAGTAATAATTGCATCATTTCCATTTGCAACAGAACGATGATTGCCACGGTTAGAACTTTAACCCGTCGGCCAAATCAAATATCAGACTCTGATATATGAAAGGATACAACAATTTGGCTTTGCTTCTCGTTGTAAAACTCCTGATGAAGACACTTCACGTTTAATTCCCATGTGCGGTCTTGTCACTTTTGTTAGAAACTCCGATATTCAGTATAACTATTATTAGGGGACACTGAGAAAAATCAACCCGCAGGGTCAGAATTAAATACAAACAATTTTAGATTTAGTTCATTAATATTTTTCAAAATCTCTTCAAATAATTGTTTTTCTTAAATGCTGTGAAGCGATTAGGACTAAAGTTCGACATTTTTAGCGATAAAACTAAGTAACCTTCATTGTATATATATATATATATATATATATATATATATATATATATATATTAAAGTGAGAATGATCGTACAGAGGCAAAATATTAAAACCATATAGACGGTGTAAGTAGAGGCGTAGCTTCTATACGAGTGTGTTTTAGTTGAATCTAAAATAGCGGAATAGATATGGCAATCGAATTCCACACGAGATCGCCAATAGAATCCAGTACATATTTGCCGAGTTGCACCATCATAGGGTATATATCTCCGATTCACGCGCTATCTGTGTTGGCCCACGAACAAACCTTCGCCTTTTATAATTACGTGGATGAAACCAGTTGAACAGATCAATATACAGAGCTGCTCAAAATAAGTGGAACCCAAAAATAATATTAAAAAAAATGTCTCTTTTTTTCCAGATAATCACCAAATCTTAATTAATCTAAAAATTCCTCAATAAAAACTTTATTAAGCGGATTACAGCCACTTACATTTTTTTTTTTTTATCAAGCTGGAATAAAAATAATAATCTTCTTTTGAGGTCAGGATGTCGACCTGTATTTTTCGATAATTTCAGAGGTTTCGGGCAGTAGTGAGTATAAATCTTTTGAAATTCATCTTGGCAATTATACCACAATTGTTCGATATTACGTGGGGTTCTTGCATGTACTGTCTACATTTAATTGAACTTTAGATTTTTAATTAAGTTTAGATCAAACGTTTGACTAGGCCATTCCAAGTGGATTTCCTTTGACGCTTCGGATCATTGTTCTCTTAGAAGACCAATACCCGGCCTAAAGTCAACTTTCGAACCATTGGCAAGACACTTTCATTCAACATTGTTTAGTGTCTTGGTGTCCATTGTTCCGCTAACGCGTACTATTTTAGTTGTTCCAGCTACAGTAAAGAAACCCCATATCATGTTCAAATTATCCAGATGATTCTTTTCTTCAAAAGCCGTACCAGGATCGCGCACTAGGCCATACCACGTATCGTCCTCTCAAGAAGCTGTAGGTTGGTTACATTCAACCATCATAACTTTGCCAGAACCTTCCTAGCTTACTAATTCGAGTTTAGCATCGATGAGCCGAACTCGTTTGTTCTTTTTCGTAGGCAGTAGACTTTTTCTAAGCATTCTGCCATAAAGATGAGGCATCTTTCAGATTTAGTCATACTGTAGGCGTATGCACATTGATTCCGACATTGGCCAGGCAGTCTTAGAGATCCAGAGATGTCACAGCATGATTCACATTGTTTGCCGATGTAGATGTCAACTTGTTCTAATAGTTCATTTTTCATGGACGGACAATTCTTGATTGCGATGCCTTCATACCAAAGGCCTTCCATTTATAAATAATTTGGGACACAGTGGAGACATGCATTTCAAATCGTTTTGATAGGTTTTGTAGCTTTCTCCATCATTATAGACTACAACTCTACGGTTTTATGATCTTGGTATATCATTTTTTGTAAATCTAGTTTCTAACTGCACAATTTTGCATACACTGATTAATATTGTTTGACTTCAGTACACACAGCTTGGCGAAAAATGAACACGTGTCATTTTGATTTTTACATGTGCACAAAAATTATTTACACTTACAACCATATAAAGCAAAAACAAAATACAGTGTGTAAATGTAAGGCTTTACTTACATTTGCGCAGCTTAACTTTTTTTAATATTTTTATTCTTGCTTAATAAAATATTTTGAAAGTGGTTGTGATTCATTCAATAAAGACTTTTATCAATTAATTTATAATTTAATTAAGTTTTGTTGATTGTCTTATGTCA